TTTTTTTTTATTTTTTTTGTATCCCTTCAGTTTCATCTCCATAGAACGGCTAGGTTTTACGTTGGCTCGTCAAGCCTATCACAACCCTCCTTCTTTACCAGGGCTTGGGACCCGCTATGTTGAGACAACCCTCCTCCTTCACAACCCTCCCTTCAGTTGTATTTTTTATCATTTGCTGAGGAGTTCTTGAGGGCATATCACAGAAAAATGTGAAAAATGAATTTGTTTCAATTTTCAATTATTTTTATCCATCTGAAGAGAAGGGCTCAGCAAAAGTCGTATTCTTTTCGCATTTTGTAATTTTCTTTATGATCTTGCTGAAGTTAGAATTGTAAGTTGTTGGAATCATAGTGATACAATTACAGTTTGATGAAATCAAATTGGTTGATGAGCTCTTTCATGATGCAGTTAGTTGCAGAGGTTAAAGAAAAGCTCGAAAAAGAACATAATAATCTCCCAATTGGGAAGTACGGAAGAGATGACGAGGAGATGATCCTTTGGTTTTTGAAGGATCGAAGATTTTCAGTTGACGAGGCTGTCTCGAAATTGACCAAAGCCATTGTAACAATTATATTAACTTCATAGCATCTAGTTTCCATTTGAGAGTATTTTCCTTTTTTTCTTTTTTGCTTTCTCTTATTGCACTCTATATCAGGTTTGAGCTTAAGGCTTTTTTTAACTGCCCTCGAATAACCTTTTTCTTGATTTGCATTCACTATGGATTTAATTTATCTTCTACTTAAACAGAGATGGCGAAAGGAATTTGGCGTATCGGGTTTATCAGAAGAATCAGTTTCTCGCTCGGCAAAAACTGGTAAAGCTTATCTGCACGAGTGCTTGGATGTAAAAGATAGACCGGTTTTAATAGTGGATGCATCAAAGCATTTCCCCGGGGTATGTTTTTTCGAACTGCTTATATCTTTATTAACGTATCAGTAAAGTTATGTACAAAAATGATTTATTGAGAAAGACCCTTTAGAGTTTTGGACTTGCCGTAAATGAACATTAAATGAACACTCTGAAATGCGTAAAGTGGAATTATATGTGAAAATTGTAACATTTGCTTGAACCAAAATAAAATAAATAACTAAATAAATAAATAAATAAAAGTATGATACACTGATAAATCAAGATATTCATCTACACAGGAGCAAGAACCTTCTGAAGATGAGAAGCTATGTGTGTTTTTGATCGAGAAGGCACTTGCCAAGCTCCCACATGGAAAGCAAGAAATACTTATTGTTATTGATCTACGAAAGTTCCAGCCCCAAAATGCCGATATTAAGTTCGTAACCTTTGTGGTAAATTCTCCAAAATCTGTGCAGAGTACTTATCAAAACTGTCCTCTTTTATTTCATTCCTTTTTTACGTTTTTCTTTCAATTATCCGATTTAGTTAAAGCGAACGTGCAGCTTTTAATGATTTTTTGTTTTACATCCAGATTGAGAAGAAATTGAATATAATATATATATATAT